AAAGGACCAACTTTCCAAAATACACCTTGAAGCCCAAATCAAAATCAGAGTTGAGCTGCCAATACAGGCTAGCTCATCCTAACCTTCCCACACCCAACTCCTTCTCATATCAAGACCCTGACCTTCACCAGCTAAAACGAACCAGATTTGGGTCGGGTTTCTTATCAACAAAGCTCTCTAATGTTGGGAGGCTCAAGTCCCTATGAAAGACATAGGGGAATCTAGAAACATATCCCAAGCAGGCAAAACACAGATCTAAAGTCGATCTGATTCATAATCTGAAGAGCAAAGGGGGTTAATGACCCTCAAAACAGGGTCGAAGCATGTCTACTCCTCCATTAGGCCAAGTCGGGCCCTTGGCTAATCTATTTTGCTGGTTTGCCATTTAAAAAAAAAAATAAAAAAAAATGAAAGTCCCTGCACGTGATTCTCAGGGCTTGGCTGCACTACTCACTAAATGTGCAAAACCAGAATGAATCTTCTGCAGAACATGGAATGATACGCCGCCATATGTTTTGTCTTTTCTGCATGTGGTGAGCAGAGGCTCTCAGGGCCACAGCACGTATTCCTAAGAAAAGAAAAAGGAAAAAAAAGAAAAACAACAAAAAAGAAAAATGAGAAAAAAGAATAACAAAAAAAAAGAAAAATAAGAAAGTCCCTGCACGTGATTCTCAGGGCTTGGCTGCACTACTCACTAAATGTGCAAAACCAGAATGAATCTTCTGCAGAACATGGAATAATACGCCGCCATATATTTTATCTTTTCTGCAGAGCCTTAGGGCAAAAAAGACCAAACATATGGCGGCGTATTATTCCATGTTCTGCAGAAGATTCATTCTGGTTTTGCACATTTGGTGAGTAGTGCAGCCAAGCCCTGAGAATCACGTGTAGAGACCAACACAGCTAGCTATGTGAGCAACCCATAACTTCTGAAACACAGACGTGAACTTGAATCATGAGGATATATTCACCCAGCTCGTGTTCCATTTCATACTCAGTTCCTGCCTCGATTATGAGGGAGGGTCAACACTCTAGTGCTTTGAGGACCCTTCAGATGGCCTGCATGAGCCGTCTGAGCAGTGTTAGGGGGGGTCTCCCACCCTCCCCCCCGAAAAAAAAGGACCTATCATATATGGTGGGGGGTGACGCGGTAGCGGGGCGGTGCTTGTTTGGTTGTTTTTCGCACTTTTGGGGTTTTTTTAATGAGGCCCACCACCCTGTAATTTGCGATGTGCGCTCGCGATCCTCTGGGTTGCGTTCAATTTTTTTCGCGCCACGTGGTGTGCAACGCGTTTGAACGCGATTGAACGCGGCACCGGGGGGTTTGAACGTGAACGCGCGTTCTGCGCGTTCAACCGGTTACACAGATAGACTCACCTGGTTCGCAATCGGTAAGGGCCTTAGTAGACCCAGAGGGTTCTCATGTGGTGGGCTGTTTCTCTGTCATACCAGACAAGTACGCACATACGTTAGTACATCTTCCTTTAGTCCTTTTTCTTGAAACCAAAATGTCTTGCAAAGTCATGGCATACCCCAATCAGCAGACTTTTAATCTCTTCTTTGTGAGGAATACACAACCGTTGTTCAGTTTGGTCTATCAAGAAAAGCAATCCATTTGTCATCTTATACTTGGGTAGCAGGGCAGGATCCTTAGTGACAAGGTCAATGATGGGTTTCCAGATAGGATCATTAGCATAACCTTGTCGAATCTGTTCTTGCACATCATTTCCAATATCCAAGTAAGAGACAATGGTTCCAAAGAAATCACTTCTCCTAGACAATGCATCTGCCACAACGTTAGACTTACCTTTGATTGTCTTCAACTCAAAGTCAAAGGTGTTGAGGAAACCAGACCGTCGTACTAGTTTGTTAGAGAGTTTTGGTTGAGTCTTTATCCACTTCAGTGTCGAGTGATCTAAGTAGACAGTGAAGTGTCTCCCTAACAAGTAGTGTTTTCAGGATTTCAGTGCACAGACAAGCGCATACAATTCCCTTTCGTAAGTGGAGTCGACGACCATCGTCCTGCTGTAGAACTATGTCAATTCCATACTGACTTGCGTCAGTGGTCACAATAAAGGGAAGAGAT